AAAAAGGACCCTCCTTTATGGATTAGCTTAATTCCTAGTAAAATCTTTCTAAACCAAACCTAGTTAATTTAAGGTGATTAAGTTGGGTAATAGTGTAAGAATTTATACTATTAATTACATGACTATAATTTTTTACCAATGACTAACAATAGCGAAGTATCCTACTTTTATATATGCTGGATAGTACTTATTAAATATTACACTGAGGGGCTGGGATTGTGGCTCAGCGGTAGAGCGCTCGCCTAGCACGGGCGGGACCTGGGTTCAATCCTCAGCACCAAAAAAAAGTAAAGGCATTGTTGTGTCCATCTACACCTAAAAAATAAATATTAAAAAAAAAATATTATACTGAAGTTGTCCAAAGCCAACAACATCAAAGCCATAAACATATTTTGTTAAAAGAACCTCAACAAGGAGAGGTTTTCCCTTAGATAAATAAGTGTTTCTTCTAAGAATTAAACCTAAGACTCAGACTTAAAAAATTAGGTGCTGACTGACAAGTAAGTTCATGAAAACATCCCTATCTCTATGTATGATAAGACTATTCAACAAAAACTCCATTAACAAAGACAATGCATGTCAATGTTGTCAAAATAACTTGTAGAGATAAGAATTAGACCACTATATGGAAATAGGAATACACAAGAAAGGTATTACCAAAATGTTCAATCATACACATGTGCACCTAAAACAGACCTGGACTGCATACCTACCTAAACAAAACCAAAAACCAAACAAAAGAAAACCAGCTGAGGGGCACTTGACAGTCAATCGCCAGCACCCTGAAACATACCAAAAAACCTTTCTTCTTAGGCCAAGTACAATGATGTCTAGAGAGCACAGTATTCAGAAGACTGTTTTACTTCCAAGGTATTCTAGTCAAATAATAAAACCAAATGAAGGCCTGACTCAAAACAATGAGAGAAGTGTAGCATACTCCCACCTGACCCCACTTTTCAGATAATACACTCCCAATAGGGAACAATATCGCCAAGGTGGAGCGCGACTACCTGGGTGAACATCACCCCTCATCTCCCCGCCAAGCTTTTCCAGATTAGAGGAAAGGCCTTTGTGCGCAGCACCCAGCACTCTGTTAATCATCTGTGGAAACAGTAGGCTGATACAGAGCCTTTGTAAAGGAGACTCCACAAAGTGGAAGCTTACCAGAGCCGCTGCTTGCCTCTTTGCTGGAGATGGCACTTGCAGAAGGCAGCAGCTGATGTACCTGTGCTTGCTGGTCTGAACGGCTGCTGCCATTTGGGACGTTTTTGTTCCACATGTTCACATTTTTGTAGTTGTATTTGCTTGGATCTCCCCAGGCAGAAGTTCCGTCATCAATCTCCATTTTGCGTCGTATGGATTCTGGGGATGGTTCCTCCCAGCCTGTGGGCTCTTCTTCTTTTGCTGGGGCTGGTATGGGTCCCCCCAGCCAGCCTGTGCCAGGAGGTTTGCCTGCAGCTGGTGGGATTCCCCAGGACCCAACAAGGTCTTGTTGCTTGTTCCAGTCCGGAGAACTGACTGGCTTTGATGAATCTCCCCAACCTAGAGACTGATTAGACTTTGGAGGGTCTCCCCATCCCTGGGAAGGATTAGGTTTAGCAGATTCATCCCATCCTGATGAATTATTTGGATTTATGTTATTTCCCCAAGTAAAAGAACTAGTTTTACCAAGTTCATTCCAACCAGAAACGGACCTATCACTGTCACTACCTCCTGAGCTGGACTTTTTATTAGCCTCCCCCCAATGGTTACTCCTTGAGGTTTCTCCCCAGTTGTCAGTGGCAGAAACGGACCAACCTTGGCTTGCCTTCTGTCCATCACCCCATCCCTGTTTGCTCTTTTGCGAATCATTCCACGCAGACTTCTCTTCTTTGCAATTCCCCCACTGATTGCTCTTGATCATTCCTGTAGCAGCAGAATCATCTTCCCACCCCCCCTGGCAGTTTGAGCCTTTGGAATCTCCCCACCTCAGAGCAGGCTTGGGGTCGCCCCACCCCGATACAGCTGAGGTATCATTACCATTAGGGCCAGTCTTCTCCATACATGCCCCTGAGTTAAGAGTCTGTGCTGCAGAGCTTCCCCAGGCCTCGGTCCCATTGTCAGTCTTTCTTTCCCCTCTAGGTGATGTTTCGGTATCCCAGGCAGTATTCTGCTTAATAGGAGTCTGTCCCCAGCCAGAGTTGGACAGGACACGTGGATCTAAGTCAGCTCTGTTCACGATGCTTTGGAGTAATGTGTGCTGATCAAGTTTTCTTCTGTCTCGACTCTGACTGTCCCCAGTTGCTTTTTCCTCTAGGCGTCCAGTGCTTTCTGTGCTACCCTCACTCTCCACTGCACCTCCTGTTTTGGCCCACACGCTGCTTTGCTCATTTGTCTGAGATGTGGCAGAACCCTGATCCTCTTCCTCAGTAGACTTCCATCCATTTGTAAACTTCTTTCCATTGCCGTTTGCACTGTCACTGGAATGCTGATTGCTAGGCAGTTTGTTCCACTCGACGCTGGGTATATTAGTGCCAGTGTTTTGTGCAGGGGTTCCCCATCCTCTTCGACTTCCTCCAGAATTCGCACCATTTCCACTTCCCCATGACGTACTCTGGGAATTTGCTGCCCCAGACTCCCAAACGCTTCCTCCTTTATTTGTGTTAACTTGAAAGTTAGTGCCCACAGGCCCATTGATGCCAGGCTGCATTAGAGTTGCATTCACAGTGTCACCATTAGCTTGGCCATTAGGGCCGGAACACTTGTCTCCAGAGTAATTAGAACCATAGGCACCCCATGTAGTACCATAAGAGCCCCCACTTTTTGACTCTCCATTGCTAAGATGAGAAAGGGAAGTGCCATTCATAACTGATGGAGCCTGTATTTGAGGATGATTCATTGTGCTCACACGCCAGGCCCCTGTATTACTACTAGGCAGTTCATTATTCTGTACTGAACCGGAGTTTGGTAAACTAGAGGTCATAAAGTTAGTAGTGTTATTTGGTCCAGTCATTTCAGTGGTAATATTTTGAGGTTGACCACTGAATGAAACCTTCTGTGTACCACTTACTTCAGATTCACAAGTTTCCTGAAGGCTTCCCCAGGTACCATGGGTAGAAGAACCACTCACTTTAGAGTTAATACTCTGATTGTTAGGCATCTGGCCTATGGTACTGCACTGAATATTGATGCCAGAATTACCACTCCCTACAGGCCCTTTTAGGGCAAGTCCATTGTTCTCTAATACTGGCCAGGCACCATGGTTGCTAGCTGAATTCAAAGTGCTTGGATTTAACCCTCCATTTGATGAAGAACTTACAGTGCCCCAAGCATTCATTCTATTGTTGCTACTTTCTGATTTGCTTTCAGGAGCATCCACAGAGACCTGACATGTGCTTATTATGGCTCCATGGGAAAACCCCCACGGTCCAGTACTGCTTCCATGGCCCACATTATTGCTGCTGCTACCAACCACAAACTTGTTTTGGGAACCAAGTCCAGTGCTATTCCGAAGGCTATCTTTTTCACCACCTGTGCTCCCTGAAGCCATGATAGTGATGTTTCTCTCTGATTCAGAACTGGAGGCAGAATCAGCATCCACACATTCTGAAGCCAATTCTGGATCACTGCCAGGGGCTGAAGGCCATACTTCTTTTTCCAACAAGTCGCTCACAACAGCATTCTTACAGTTTGTGCTGGAGTCACTCGTAGAAGACACAGGTCCCCGCTGGGAATTTTCATAATGGGATCCTGAAGTATTGTGGTTTATATCTAGAATAAAGGAGAAAGACACAGTTTATAAAGTGCTAGTCATTTTCAAAATGACACAAAACAGTCTCAGAAAAATGGCAAGTATGTCATAACTATATGTGGTTCCTCAACTTTAATAAGATAAGGCGCCTGGCAGGATGGTTACTGCTTATCTTTCAGCCACCAACTTTCCATAATCCAGTAAGTTTACACAGGCAGAGGATTTTGCAGCTTTGCTCATTAACATTATCCCACAGCCCTAGAACACAACAGTCCCTCAATAAATGCGGGATGAATGAACTGTTAACACATCAGCCAGAAAAGAATTCTGATGTCAGAGGGACTGGTGGCAGTGATGTGTTATAATAATGGAGCAACCCAGACTCAGAGGCTGGACTTGGGAAAGAGGAGGCTGGGATGAAGGCAGGTCAAGATTAATAACCTGAACTTGATAAAATATATTAGTAATGTATTTGGGATCCTTTTCCCATTCTGCTTTCTAGAATAGCCTGTCCATACTTTTCAGTTTATAAGAATTCCAAAAGTTTTATCCATTATATTTCCACTTCTTCAGTGTTTACATTCAGCTAAAATACTGCACACAAGCAAGAATTATTTTTAGCTTGACTCAATAAGATTTTTACCTGCAAAGCCAAGTTTATTAAAAGAGACAACAGAAAAACACAAAAATTGACATATGAAAGATCACCAAATCATTATGATAAAAGTCAGCTGCTGACATTAAGAACCACAAATGACCAGCCATATAATCCCACAATCTGAGATTCTCTGCTATGTATTATTATCTAGTTACTCTACCACAGGCTGGGCAATCCGAACATTTCTGATAATTCCCAGGTTCTTTATTGTCATTTGGTTTAAGGCTCTGGAAGGTAGAAATTCCTCAGGGATATTAACTACAAAAGATGTTTGCATTCAGTCCGTCTCGAGGGGGTTGCTTATGTTGTAGTTCTCTACTACAGTAAGAATCAGAATTACAAGTAGAGCTTTTAAATGCACACATCATGTCCCATGGAGGGGTTTTTTGGGTTTTTTTGGGGGGAGGTACCGGGGATTAAAACCAGGGTCGCTTAACTAGGGCCATATCCCCAGCCCTTTTTTATATTTTATTTATAGACAAGGTCTTGCTGGGTTACTTAGGGTCTCACTAAGTTGCTGAGGCTGCAATCCTCCTGCCTCAGCCTCCCCAAGGTGCTGGGATTACAGGCATGCGCCCCCATGCCCTGCATGTCCCACACTTCATGGTTATAAAGCCTAGGAAATAAATGTAAATTGCTACTAGGGAGTTTTGCTAATATGGAAAATCAGATTCTGCTTGTATCATTTTCTCTCAAAGTATACACTGTTAGGAAGTAACAGATGATAAACCAGAAAGAGTGGCAGGAAAAGGGACTACAGAGACCAGAAATGTATATGTAATTTACCAAATATATATATTAAAGCTTCATAAGTGACTCTAATTTCTATTCCCTGCTTAGGAATCATTTTGTTAAGTTTCTGAAGTTTGTTATCTTTCAGTGAACATGAAAAGAATTTCTCATGAAATAAAGGGTACTAAAAAGTCAATCTCACGGAGTAAAAACAAATCAGCATACTGACGTCCACACCAGCCCATCAACAGATGTTCAGCTACATGTCATGAGCTTAACACACTTTCATCATTGAATAGCTGAAATAACCCCACAGGATAGGTATAACCTTTGCTCTCCAGATGAGAAAAATCACCATTCAGAAGTTAATTTGTAGAAATCAAGCGAGATTTGTCAGAATCCTTCATGAAGCAAGGTGACTACATGGCTGAGTCTATAGAGGCAACTTGACTCAAGTCTGGATTCTATGCAGTAGACTTGTGACAAAATCTGTGAAGCAGGGGTACTTCCTAACCCAGTTACTTTGCTGACGGTACCATCTTATGCAAAACGTTTAGCTCACACTGTCAGCAAGGTAAGTAGTGATTAAAAGCACAGAGTCTGAGACATTTTACCATCTACTATCTGTATGATCACAAGCAGGATCTCTGCCTTAGTTTCTTCATAGTACCAATCTAATGCAACTGTTATGAGGATTAAATGATTAACAACTATAAGCCATATCTGATTCATATAACACTTAAAAAATGAAGGCCATTATTATCATTAATTAATGTATGCTAAAGATTATTATCATTTTTCATTCTCCAGAACATATTTTTCATTCTACCACGTCTCCCTGATGAAGAATATGAGAACTCATAGAACTTGCTTACTTAAAATCTCCTCCTTGAGATCATGCACAGAATAACTGGACTTTTATTCCCAAGACATATCTCCTCCCAAAGAAGGGGAGACACAACTCTCCTAGCTTTCCTCAACTCAGTGAGTTTCTAAAACCCTTTATCCTTTATTTATCCTTTATTCCTTGCTGTGTACAGAAAATCCCAAACATAACCAAGTCCTGAATCCAGACTTTTCCTCTAATCTAGAATACTTCCTTCAGCCATCACTTCTGTCCTCTCCTGGATTGCTGCAAAAGCATTTCTGCTGCCATTATTTTCCATGTGTGTTGTCACTTTTATAAAGTAAGAAAAAGAGATTTGGCATCTAAAACAGAACGACTCAAGTAAAAATAAAAGAATGACCCAGAATTTAACAATGAAGTGTCAGCAGCATTCCCACAATAATAGGAGAAAGACAAGGACACTGGTCATCAACACTCTTAAACTCCACCCTGGACATGTGAACCCAGGAAATAGGGTCCAAAATGAGAGATAAATTCATGAAGATCAAAAAGACCAACATGTGAAAAACAATAGTTTTCCAATATCCATTTTCAATGAGAAAATGTGATAGAAAACAGATCCTAATCAGTACAACTCATAAAATCACTTGAACATACTAATAAATATATTTAAATTTCATTTTAATTTTTATATATGTAATTTCTAGATGTAGTTGCACACAATACCTTTAGTTATTTATTTTTATGTGGTGCTAAGGATCGAACCCAGAACCTTGCATGTGCTAGGCGAGCACTCTACTGCTGAGCCACAACCCCAGCCCTCGTTTTAAATTTTATTCTAAGTCACAGAAGACAACTTGATTATGTACAGAAACTTGTTCCTAGATAGGAAGATCTAAAAATTTTAACATAATTACAAGGAACTGTTAAACATATTAACCATGTATGATGATTAAAAGTGATTTTAAGATTCATGTTAAAAAATGGGAGTCTCTACTCCACTTCCCCCAATAAATCTCAAACAGAATTTATGAGGGAGGGAATTCACATTATCAGGCAGTACTGCTCTGAGAGAATATGCAAACATACTGAACAGAAAATCCAGGAATAGTCCCAAGCATATGTCAATGTTACTGTTTTGGATGTGGGGGAGGTATTCAGTACTTAAAAAATATTTTCGAATGAGACAATATATTCAAAATAATACCAAATGATTAATATTAGAAGTCATGCCTAAAACCCTGGATTCAATCATGACCACCATTAAAAAAAAAAAGTGTAATGGCAAATGATGAAACCATGAAGTTATAGAATTTTTTATACACAAATCATAGAAACCACAAAAGGATAGGTTAGACTACTTATTTTTAAAGTGAAACCTTTTAATATCAGAATGAAGAAAAGCAGAAAAACAAACACTAGAATTCACTCTGCAAAAGAGTTTGTTGCCTTTAACGCTAGCAAAAAATGTTCCCACATTCTAGTCTAGTCCTGGTTTTGGAACCGTGGTAGTGATCTAAGACTGTCTTTTGCTATATTTTCTTTTAGGAAAGTAAGGAGAGGTACCATGAATAATTTTTAGCTAAAATTCCATTTTTAATCTGGATCCTACTTTAGTTTCAACAAAACCTAAATTAAAGACCATTCTAAAAACTGTACATCAAGGATAAGTCACAAGGGCTGGGGATGTGGCTCAAGCGGTAGCGCGCTCGCCTGGCATGCGTGCGGCCCGGGTTCAATCCTCAGCACCACATACCAACAAAGATGTTGTGTCCACCGAGAACTAGAAAATAAATATTGAAAATTCTCTCTCTCTCTCTCTCTCTCTTAAAAAAAAAAAAAAAAGCGGGATTTTTTTTTTAAAAAAAAAGGATAAGTCACAAGGCATTTTTAGTTATGAAAAGAGTTATAGTTTAGGAAGAATAATGAAATGGTATGGAGGGGAAACAGACACAATTCCAACTAAAGGAGAGAAAAGAAAATGCATCCTCAGAAATCACAGGTGCAGAAGCTATTTCAGAGTTGAAGAAGTGAAATAATATATTTCCCCTTTCAGACAAGGGGAACACCAGTGTTCAAAATATCTGAGGATAAACATACAGGAATACCATTAAGTAGATCATCACTACTTTTTTTAAAAAAATATTTATTTAGTTGTAGATGAACACACAGTATCTGCTTTTGTTTTTATGTGGTGCTGAGGATTGAACCCAGGGCCTCATACATGCAAGGCAAGCATTTTACCACTGAACTACAGCCTCAGCCCTATCCACTACTTTATTCCCCCAGGAAATAGAAACATTAAGGCTGTAAATCTCTGTGGTAATGCAAAAAAAAAAAAAAAAAAAAAAAAAATAGCAGGTTTTTTTTTTAATTTAATGCAAATCTTTACAAACCATAATGCTATAAGCAAACTAAGATTTAGAAGGTTGCATGTTACTTAGAAACAACTGGAATCCAGAATGGCATCAGCATCCTACTTTTACACAAAATCATCAAGAGAGAATGGGGGCAGCTCTAGTACTACACCTCAGGAAGAATACAGTCAGTCCTGGTGGTGCACACCTGTACGCTTGGCAACTTGGGAGGCCTAGGATCACAGCCTCAGCAACTTAGTGAAAGCCTGTTTCAAAAAATAAAGGACTGGGATGTATATTACTGGTCAAGCACCCCTGGATTCAATCCCCAGCACTGCAAACAGACACACACAATTGCATTACTGTACTTCTATTCAAAGAGATTATGTAGGGAGCAAAGACTGGTGATAATTCAAGTGGCTAATAAACAGCATGTGTGGGAAGAATTTAGACTGATGTAAGTTCATGAGCAAGTTTTTTCTTAGAAAATATATGACAATATAACAAAACAGTCGAATTATTTGCTTTCCTACCTTAGACTTTATTTCTATAGAAAGAGAAGAGCTTAATAAATAAGTAATCTTTAGGTTTAACAGTGTTTCCATGGAGTGTGAGATGTACCACCAAGAATATGAGAGAACCTTAAATGCACAATTTCAAATAGCTCTTAAAAGTGACAAAGTCCATGATGTCTCTTGGTTATTTCAGCCTTTGGTGCTGGGTCACCAAACATTTTATGTAAAAGTCTCGTTAATAAATATTTTGTGGGCTAGATAGACAGCTTTGGCAACTACTTAAGTCTGGCACTGTAGCTTGAAAGCAGCCACAAACAACATGTAACCCAACAGGCATGGCAGCCTTTCAATAAAACTGGACTAATGGAGGTTTGGTTCTGGAATAAAGATAACAACACACCAGATGCAACACATGGATCATGACTGGCTTCTGGTCTGACAAATGGGGGTGCGGATGGTAGAAAAAAAGATATTTGGGGGGGATTTTACTTTACACCAAATGGTGAGTACCTCAACCATGGCAACTGGCAGGAGACGGAAAAGAGTTCAGTTCAAACAAAAATAAAAAACCCAGTATTTGAGGTTAAAAATTATACAGCGCAGTGAACCACTGGCTTATGAAACACTAAGAAAGGAAGAGTCTGAGCCTGATTTCAGGATTTTGGAAGAGTTACTGGATGAACGGACAGGCTGGCTTTTTTGAGCAAGGGAATCCAGACAGAGGAAGTGGTATGGGGCAAGGTAAGAGTTTAAGTTTGAACACTCTGAGTCTAAGGGTCCCACCTTCAGTGGAAGACATCCAGGAGAAAGACAGCCAAAATTTGGAAAGATATGCAACAATGATTCGGCAAGTAATAAAATCTGAGAGCTGGTCAAAGAAAAACGGTAAAATACAGAAGAGGAACAGAAAGGTGTGAGGAGAACAAGAGCTACATGGTGACAGAGGCCACACAATGAAAGACCTTCATTTAGCAAATAGGAGGCAAATGGCAGGGGTGGGGCACATTAAGATAGAAAAGACTGCTTTTTGAACTATGAATGTGATTTTTTTAAAAGTCTTGATTGGAAATTTAGAAGATCAGTGACTTTAATAAAAGCTATTTTAGTCAAGTGAGCAGGAGTTGGATTCTAGAGGATCAACGCAAATGTATGAAAGATTGCAAGCGCAGACTTCAAGAACTTGGAAAAAGGAGAGATCCTGCAAGAACTCAAGAGTACAGGACTTACCAGATTGTTTTGTCAAAGAGAACAGAGACGTGAGCATGTTTATAGACCAAATGAAAGGTGAAAACTGAGAGCCGGACATATAAGTTACAAGACAGCAAAGATGTTACACTATGCTGAAAAAAAATACAAAATGCCAGGTGCATGGACAGTATTCTAGTGATTCTCCAAAAACTTTTAAGCCATTCCAACAGATCCCCACTCATAATTATACACATATACTTCACTGGTTTTAAAATAATAATAATAATATATAAAACGTTCATGTATCCCCCCTGAAGAAATATATCCTAAATAAATAAATCCTAGTCTACAGGAAAAGACTCGCTGCCTCCTCCTCTGATTTATATCTCCTTCATTCCCTTTAGATCTCCCAGTGGTAATCAATCATGTAAATTTCCGTATTTTATTCATCCCTAAATGACATGTAATATTGTTTTATAGTCTTTGTTTTACAAAGGGATCATACTGTGAACAAACAAACAAAAATACATTCTTGGAACAACCGGCAGGAAGGTGAACATGAACTATTAGGAGACATTGTTGAATTGCTGTTATTCTTTTCCTTTAGGGGTGATTATGATATTGTCATTGTACAGGAAATCATCCTCATGCTTAGGGTAGCTACCAGGACATGTTTGCCATTTACCCTCCAATGACTCAACCATAATGAACTTGTGTGGGGAGGGATTTAACCCAGGGGCTATGCCTCAACTACATGCACCCAGCCCTTTTTTATTTTTGAGACAGGGTCGGTCTCACTAAGTTACCAAGGCTATCCTTGAACTTATGATCCTCCTGCCTCAGCCTCACAAATCACTGGGATTACAGGTGTGCGCCACCACACCAGCACATGTGTGTCTATGACACATATGAAAGAAAAGAGAGACACTGAGTGCCCTGCGTGTGTGATCCAGATGGGACTGTGCTAACAATCACTGGATCTGGGGGGAAGGTGAACTAGTGGTCACTATTCTAGTCTAACTGATTTCTCTATGGATCATGTTGGATGACAAAAAGTGATATAGATCATTTTGGCCCAAAAGACTATTGCTGCTGTCCAGGTGGCTGAGCATATTAGTCCTCCTGAAATGCCTTATTACATGGCCCCTAATTCAGGGTTATTTGGGCTTGTCAGGGCACTAAGAAGTCAACTGCAAAAAAAAAAAGAGGTCTTAAGTCTAAGTTAAAACAATTAGGGGCTGAGGTTGTGGCTCAGCGGTAGAGCGCTTGCCTTGCACGTTTGAGACCCTGGGTTCGAACCTCAGCACCACTTAAAAATAAAATAAGTGAAATAAAGGTATTGTGCCCAACTACAACTAAAACAAAACAAAACAAAAACAAAAACAAACAAAAAAAAACGATTAATAAGTGTTTCAAGCACAGTTGCAAAATGGCAGGTCAGGACTCAACCTGCAGAGCTGTCTATTTGACCACCACAGGGTCCTAACAACAGTAAAAATGAAAAGGTGTTAAGTATTTAGCAAGGGTACAAAATCAAAACCCACTGACCACCGTCCCCATCACCCTTTCCACCATTTACTCCACTTACCTGCCAGCCCATGAAGGCATCCGTTTGTGACTTCTGATTTACAAACTATCTAATCTCATCTAGGTACAAAACTTGCTCTGTCCACACTGAATAAATGAGAAACATATTAAGGGAAGAAAAGGAGGTCTAACTAACACTGCTCCTTTTTAGCATGAAAACCTGAAATAAGTGAATTTCCATGTACCACATTCAGTAATTTAAATGCTAAATCCACTCCATTAACCATCTCTGTTCAAAAAGAGCCAAATACAAACGGATAAAAACAGTGAAGATGGTGTTCTCACAATCCTGAACTGCCTGTAGTCAACACAGAGTTCTCACCTCTCTGGGCTCACACTATTTACACTGTTTGTACACTCTTCTCCATGGACCACTTGGCTGCTTTTAGTCTGTAAGATGGCCCTCCTTGGCCTGTGACATGAGAACTAAATAAGCTATCACAGCATTTGGGTTCCAGTAAGCACCCTATGAAAATTAGTCAGGGGATCAGCATTATTCGTACTGATGACTCTTCAGGAATGAGGACAGACTGGCCCCTCCGAGATTCACTGAGTCCTACTGGCCCACTCTGCAGCCAGAGTTTGCACTACCATCCCTAGAAGCACACGTAAGGGTATTTTAATGTAAATATGTGAAATACGCTGATAGAAAGGAGGAGATCCACGACCTTTATTAAAGATAAAACTGCCAATCTGGTTCTTCGGGATGCCTTGGCTTCATCACCTGCATTCTCTAACTGCTTTAGCATTTAATTTCAAACTGATCCCTGCACCCTCCTGACTTCCATCTCAACCTCCACATTAATGCTGTCCACCTTGTAAAGTTCTTTTAGAAACGGGCAGGATGTTTTTCCCTCTAGGGTTTTTTTGAAGACTTTCTCCTATACCCACACCTTAGGTCTTCTCATCTGAACATATGCCTACAATGCTTTTGGGTTTTTTTTTTGATCCATACTCATTTTTGAGAAATAATCTTATATTTCTGTTATTTCCATTTCAAAAACAGCTTTGCTCTTTCATTTTCCAAACTGAAGAAGCGCACTGGACAAGTTTCTAAATGTACTGCGCCATCTTGCTGTGTGTGTTCTTAATTATGCTATCTGCTAGCTCTCAGTAAAGCACACTCCAGCATTTATTGTATAAATCATCTCTCCCAAGACATTTTAACGACATTTTTTCTTATGCTGATGACCAATATGTTAAACCTGATTTCCTCAATGAAATTCAAATTACTAATGCCTACTTATTGGCATTAGGTGTAATATTTAGATCTCAAAGCAATCACAGGATTGGGTACTACTGTCAACCCTAGAGATTAAGAAAGAAGGACACAATAGCTATCTGGCCAGTCTCACACAGGTACTGCGTGAGCAGGGGAGTGAGGATTAAAGATGAACTCAGGATGATAAGTTTGTATCATTCCCAATGACAATGTGCTGCTGTAAGTACCTGCGCTAGAAAATTCACATCTGTGTCCTCTTCCTCTTTACCTAACACTTCCAGTATGTCGCCAAAGCACAGTACGGTGGTCATGAGCAACAGCTCTGGAATCACATCTCGGTATGGGTCCAGAACCGCTACTTATTATCCGTGAAATGCCATAATATATAGTACAATGTAGAGGGCAACACCTGGTGTATACATAAAGTAGCGGAGGTTGAAGTAAATAACTTCTCCTCGGGCAATCAGGAGACAGAGTAGTGAGAAAACAACATCTCACAGGGTTGTTGAAGATTAGATGCAATAATATGCATAAACGCACAGCACATGACTGGGTGGAGGAGAGAGGGCAAGTTTAGCTGGAGTCTTACAGTCTACTTTAGCTAAAAGCTTCTTGTTAAAGTGGGCAGAACCTAAAGGGCGAGAAAGTCATTAAAATATTCATTTTCAAGTAGGATGGCAGGTACCTTACGGAAAACATTTTAAGATTCTCCACTTGTAACTCCCTGTACAGGACTTTAAAATTAAAGCCCAGATCTGAGAAACACCAAAACAGCTGTCAATCTGTAAACTTGCTAATGATGCTAACGTTTGAGTCTTGTAAGAAGGGCCTTCTCTCACCTGACTCGGTTCTGCTGTTCTGCACCTCTCCGTTATTTTGTGGCTGCTGATTTATTACAGCACTGCTTTCTGACTGGCTGTTTAACACCTTAACAGCAGATCCCAGGTTTGCTGCTATGACAGGAAAATGCTGACCCCTCTTTAGAAGCTGCTTATGTTCCTGGTGGCGAAATCGTGGAGGTACTTCTCGAGGATACCGAGGCAAGGCCTGTGGCTGCGGCGGCTGCTGCTGCTGCTGCTGCTGCAATGATGGTGGTGGCTGCTGCTGCTGCGGCTGCTGCTGCTGCTGCTGCGGCTGCTGCTGTTGCTGCTGCTGCTGCTGATTGTTGGCTGTAGCTCGCTTGGCATTATTATTAGTGCTGGTTGCTGTGGAAGTGCCGTTATTAGAGTTGGCAGGCTGAGGCTGGCTTACACTGGGCTTTATCTGTTCTGGCACTAATCCCAACAAAAGAGAAGGGGTGGAGAAGATTAGCCAGTAAAGTACACCTTCATAGGAAGCCATCTAAATTCAAAGGCACTACAAACAACAATCCTAACAGAACAGAAGCTTTATGTGTGCAGGAATAGCCTCATTCACATGCTTGAGTTTTCTTAGAAGACATCACTGCCAGGAGTCAAATTTTATTTCCACTAACTACTTATTCAATAAAGGTATGGAGACTGTTGGCCTTCCAGACCAGGATAACGAATCATGCTCACCATCTCCTTCCCATATTACTCTGTGATCAGCAAGCAAGTACTCATACATGATCGTACAATCTTGACTAAAATAATCAATGTGCTGCTGGGCCCAGAGGCGCAGACCTATAAGCCTAGCTACTCATTTGGGAGACTGAGGATCACAAGTTTGAGGCCAACCTTGGAAACTGAGTGAGATCCTGTTTCAAAATACAAAATAAAAAGGGTTGGGGATTCAGCTCAGTGGTAGAGCACTCCTTGGTTCAATCCCCAGTACTAGAAAAACAAAATACACAAAAAAACAAAAACAGAATAAATGTGCTAAATCAAGTCTGTATCCTAAAAGAATCATTAATTTTCTGATAACTATTCTTATTCATTCTTAATGTTTGTCCCTACTGTACATCTGGGGAAGACAAGAACAAAGTTATGAGAAAACCTGCTGGTTTCCTTTAAAAAAAAAAAAAAAAGGAAAATTTAACAATTTCTTATTGATAAACTATAAAGTCTGAACCAAAGACAAACTCATGATACATACATAAATACAAAGATAACAGAATGAATCTGTAAGACTAATCAAAATTGGAGAAATAATTTGGATACTGTTTTGCAAATCTGAGAAACAAACACTTGTCTATGGAGACAGCGTGGTGTATGAGCTTTGGTGCCAGATGGACCCAGGTTTCAGTCTCACCTCTGCTTCACTAAGCTGTGGGTCTTCAGTTCAAGTTGTACAAACCTGACTGTCTCTAATCCCCACTGTGCAATGGGGAGGATGCTATGCCTTACACAGCTCTCCAAAGGCTAAAGGGTTAATGCTTACAAAGCACAGAACAGAAGACTGTACAAATACTGGTTATTCTTTAAGGACTGGCGCAATACACACTTATACATTTGTAGCAGTTAAATGTTTCTGTAAAATCTGCACCTATCTTCTAGACACCAGTCAGGTAAGTGGAGTGAAACACCTCGTGCTACTGTGAGCATACTTGAAGAAGACTCTCTGTTCCAAGGTTAAGGTTCTAGTCCTGGAAACTAGCTCTACTCTCCCAGGATAACCTCCGTGTCTTCTCTATAAAGTAGGGATAATCTTGGTCAAGCATCCAGTATACTGTAACCACTCAGTTAATGACAAGTACTACTGTGGCCTATGTTATTTACAAATGCCATAATGTATAGGTTGCTGTGATGTCAGCCCTGGTCACCTGTGTTGTTTACCATGGTCACCAACTTGCTCGTGCCCACCCTCAGCTCTACGCCTTCACCTTCATCGTGAACAACCTGACCTTCTATCCTCTTCCTTCTCAGAATACCTGGTGGATTCAGTCTACCAACATATTTTTTGAGATGGGGTCTTGCTAAGTTACCCAGACAGCACTTAAACCATGATCCCCCTGCCTCAGGCTCCCAAGTAGGTGAGATTATGGGTCTGAGCCACCACAACCAGTTTACTATTTTTAAATATATAATCTTAGCCTCTTATTTGCTTCAATGTGACTTTCATTTTTCAAGGAATATAAGCAAACTGCAGTCCAGATTTTTAACAGTAGAAAATCATTAACATTCTCCCTATTGCTTGAAATCCTTTCTATTCTTCCCAATGCTCACTGACAAGCCTCTTACAATGTTCCAAGTGCTTTCTGGTTCTAATAACATTGTGTATGGAAATTGTCACCCAGACAAGTTAATGTTACCAATATATGCAATATGCAATGACGCATATTCTCCTTTGTATCTCACACATGGTAATAAGCAAATATTAGTAATCAAAAACCATTTAATAAGAATAAGGCACTAGGGGCTGGGGCTTTAGCGCAGTGTAAAGTGCTTGACTCGTATGTGTGAGGCACTGGGTTAGATCCTCAGCACCACATGAAAATAAATAAAAGATACGGTGTGAAGATACTAAATAAATATTTTTTAAAAAGAATAAGGCATTAGAATATTCTAAAGTGCCTCAAAAGGAAAGGAAGACAAAGTATATGCAACTATGAAATCATAGGAAACATAAAAGCTGACTCATGCTTAGCAGTGGATCTGGCCTGGTTCCAGGCAGTTACATGTAAGTTGAAGGTGGTACAGTCAGCTGCTACTGCAACACAGCCTTGTTTGACATTTATTACTGAGAAAATGAAGCATTCTTTAAAACAAAAGCACAAAACATTGTGACAATAAATTTATACCCCCCAAAATGTGATACTCAGGAAAGAAGGCAACAAGAAAATGATCTTTAAATATTCCAGGAATGAGAAGACAGCCTATTTGCTAGCACTGTGAAGGCATGTACAAGAACTCTAGCACGAAATCCAAAGTGACCAGGAACTCGGAGCAATACCTACATCTGTCACTCAGCCACCCCATCCCCACCTCAAACTCAAATAAACGCTGCCCTTTTCAGCAGTAAAGTACCATATGGAAAACCAGGCTGAGAAAGGGACTCATTTCTGAGTCCAGAAAAACTCACTAAAACCAGCAAAGAAATTAAGAGAATGTAACTACTGATCCTAAATTTTAACTACACATTCTGAAGTAGAATCCCAGATATAAAATGGGATATAATAGTTATGGATAAAGGAGAAGCTAAAAGTAGATAAAGATAGGGGATAAAGAGTCACTGGGTAACATATAAACAGTGAATAATTCTAGCTATTATATTTTGTGTAGTTAAAAAATTAAGTTAATTATAACAGTAAGCAACTAAATCATTAGAAGAAAAAATGAAAATTAGAAACTTTTCATTCAATAGACAAAGAAAATGGAATTTTAAAAATTCAAAATTGTGGTTAATTCAAAATACAAAAGATGTTAAGAATAAGCTTCAAAATACCTAAGTCACAATAAACATAAAGGAGTTAAAGTCATTTGGTAAAAGACAAAACTTCTTTAATGGGGTTAAGAAAAGAGAAGCATACTTAAAGCAAATACTTTGCAAAAAGTACTCTTAAAATAATGCAAGAAGTGGGGCGGGAAGCACAGAGAAATATATAACACCAAGAAATGCTAAAAAAAAAAAAAAAAAAGCTAAATGAAAACAATTAACATCAGACAAGAGAAAATTCCAATGAGAAAAACATTATAAAAGATATATTTTATATTAACAAAAGGAATAAGTAAAAAAACGAGCAATTAAGAACTTATCAAAGTATCGAAATATGTAAATCAAATGGAGAAAAAAGACAAAACAGCAAAACCATGTACCTCGACAGCAGTTAGTATCTTTTTGACAAGCACACATGAAAATCATAAATAAATCTGAGTTGAAAATAAAATAAATATGAAAACCATGGGGTTATTATAAAAATAACAGTAAAACACTAAATACATTTTAAGACACAGCTAAATCAATGCCCAGAGAAAAATTCATAGCCTAATTATTTGCAACAGACAAAAAAAGATAAAGCATCTAACTCAAGAGGGTAGAAAGTGAAGTAAAGAAGAAGAAAGAAGGAATCAGTAAAGATGAAAACAGAAATCAGTTGCTTTAAAGATGAACCTATAAGCCCGAGGCATGGTTATGTGGAAAATAGTTAACATTTTTAAATAAAAATGGTAAAAAAAAACTGAAATTAAGAAATTTCCTTATGTTCAACTCATTATCTGCTGTAAGTCTGAAAAGCTACACAGCAGACAATGATTTTCCTGAAGAGGCAGGAAACCTAAACTGAATAATTAGCATAGAAAAATGGATTTATGAAAGATCTCATCAGGACCAGAAAATCTTTTCTGTCAATATAATATACTTTTAAATTTACTTTTTACTAGAGTAGTTTTAAGACCCATGTATCTTTCTTTACATGTTTAAACTGGTACAGAGCACAGTAAAACACATGGGTACCAAGGTAACATTTTACCAGTAAGTCAAATGAAATTTTAGTAATCCCCAGCAATCGGAACAAAAAAAAAATAGTAGATAAAATAGTACTAGGAATGAAACAGGAAGGCAAAATTTCAAATCTAGACATCATGGAAAGACAAGAAATACTGTGTACAATTTATACAAAAAAAAAGCAGAAAATCCAGCTAAGCTTTATGCAAAAAATAAGACAGTAAACAAACATTTTAGGCTTTGTGGACCACACAGTCTCTGCCACAACTACTCCATTCTGCCATCTTAGCACAAAAGCAGCAATGAACAACAGATTAATAAATAAATGCGACTTCGTTCCAATCAAATTTCATATACAAAACCAGGTGTGGCTGTAGTTTTCTAGTCCCTGCTCTACAAAATGTAATTTACCAAAATAGGCTCACAGAAGAATAGAAGGATTTACACTATAAGACACTGAAAAAGTCCTCCAAGATTTATCCTTCTAAGAGGCACTGGGCTGGATGACTTTAAGGGGTGCGGGGAGGTGTTAGGCAGGCAGACATACACAAAAAGAGGAGGGCGTGGGGGAACACCTTTAGGAATCCCTTACACCGCAGTAGATATGCACTATAAAGTGCTGGTTCCTTATTTCTCCTCCACTTCACCACTGGCATCCCTAGTACCACCAAACACAGCAAGTGCACAAGATTCTGCAATGCAGAAATGTCAGCATGTGCAGGACGAGGCATCCAGAGAGCAGTGGAGAGCAGTACTGAGGAGGTAACCTGTGGAGCACCAACCTTCAAGAGGTGGAACACGGAGAGCTAGGAAAGAAGACACAAGAATGACCAAGAGGAAGAGGATGGTGACAGCGACTGGTCAGCAGACTGCTGAATGAGTCAGTAGCTGTAAATAAATCTCTGCTCCACAGAAAATCTAGCGCCAGCAT